TTCTAGGCTGATTTAGAACCAAAACCACCCAGTATGATTTTTGTCTGTGTTTGATAATCTATAAAATGAAGATTACATTTTTAAATAAAAACTTCAAAGAGATTGGCAATACAGCAAACTGTGGATATAAAAATAACATCATAGATAAATAAAGATTTCAATCAAACTTCCATCTTATAAAAAACAATTAGACTTTTTGGTCAAAATTATATTTGATCAAGTCCAGTTTTGCTCAAAATAATTAAATGAATACTCATGCTCAAACACACTTACAAGTGGCCTACTGTTCATGACTCTTTCCTCTTCTATCTCTTTTTCACTACCTAATGATACCCATGGCTTAGAAACTGGTGGTGAATAGTCAGATAAAAGTTCAGGCTCTGGAGAAATGGTATCTTCTTGGATAGTAAATTCTGTCTATTTATTTAAATAAAGACACATGAGCAGCAATAAAGCCAGTAGAATAGAAAACTACAAAACTATACTTTCAACCTAAGCATACATTTAAAATTTTCAATGTTATTTTTAAATGTACTTACAACTATAAGACATTTCTATATATATATGGCCGGAATGACAATAGACAACAATCAATATTCACTTTAGGGTGAATATATATCTATAACAAAACTTTCAAGTGTTGTTATACATATAGCATCATCATAAACAATTACAATAAAAATAAAACATGTTTTTTTATGTTACTTATATGATAGGTCTACAGGTATTTACTAGTCCAATCAGCTTAATACAGGCCTATCTCATAAATCACTAATCTTAAAATAAAATGTAGGGCTCTTTCAATATTATATCATGCTGTTTATTATTCAGGTATGTTTAGTGATGGTTATACTCCATCTTAAATTTGGTTCACAGCTATATGGTAGTTCATACTTAATATGCCCAGGTACACAGTTACCTAATTGGTTTAGTACTAACCTACTGTCATGGTCACTCTCCTGTAGGTCTGTTTCATAAATTACAAAATAGCTTCCCAATCTAGCTTATATTTAGTGTTATAAGATATATTCTTATTGTTTTAACTTAGAATGTTAGCTAGAAGAGGCATAACATTATAAGTCTAGTAACCCTGACTAATATCTAGATAAGAATACATTGTGTATAAATATGAGGAATCAGTGAATAAGGAGCTAATGAAGTATTTACTGAGAAGTTGTTGAATAGTGATTGAGAATTCAGTGTGTGAAAGACTGTGTTGTTGATCAAGAGTAGTAATGTGCATAAGACACTGAAAGGACAGGGGCTTATTGACAAAAAAGTCAGTTTTCAAATGTAATAAGGCAAGCATGTCTTGGGGGGACAAAATATTAGAGGAGACTTTGGGATCTGTGGGTTGTCTCTGCTATACATGTTGTAAAAATCATACAGATCCTATTCAGATGGTCTTATAAACATGTTCACAATCTAAAACTAAATAGTGAATTATTATGTACTGTTACGTATCTGCTTGTTTGTTAATTTCCGGTAGAAATTCTTTCCAAGGAACTTCCTTTCTTGATTAAACCAGTTTATTCTTTCTCGATACAAACTTTTAGCACACAGTAATCTCACAATCAGTACATTTCTCGTCACTTTAAACTTAACTACTTTTATAATACACACTATAAATCACAGCAATTCACAATCTTAATAACAAAACACACACTAGCTCAAAACAGAATCATAAATTACCCGGAACTCTCTTCATTCCATCCTACAGGCTTTCTCTGCCAGGCTTATATACTAAAAAAGAGGGTGTCTCGAACAAACTCGAGCCTTCCCAATCTTTCATGATCATTTGAGAAATTCATCACGTGTCACTAGCATCATGTGACTTCCACTGTCGTAACAGTATTAACACTTAATAGTGAATTATTATGTATTAACAATTAATAGCACATCAAAATTATTTTATAGTGAATTATTATGTATTAATGCTTAATAGCATATCAAAATTACTTTATAGTACATTATTATGTATTAACAATTAATTGCATATCAAAATTTCTTTATAGTAAATTATTATATATTAACACTTAATAGCATGACATGACTTAATGACATGCCTAAAAGATGACTGAATGGCAATGAGCCAACACAGAAGATCCAATGTGAGAAAACAGAGATCTATCAACCGAGTGCCCTTTGCCCAGTGATGTACAAGATTAACATAGAGATGTCAGAATGAACCATCACCAACTAGCCCTAGGAGCCCACCGGAAGTGAGGGAAAGCCCAACTAACAGCAAGATTGATATTGATATTGAGAGAGGACTCGGAAAGAGACTATTGGCCCAAAACCTCCCGAGTGCTGAGATACAACTCCCTACCAGAAAAAGAATCATCCATAAAAGGTGATATTCCAGATGAGAATAAGGAACAGGAACACCTATGGTAGTATTTTCCAATCCAACCACCAGTCGAAGTTGGTCTGTTGGTCTGTAACGGAAGGGTAAGGGTAAGAGGGGCATCTAAGGAATTCTGAACAAGGCTCCATTGGTCTATCAAAACCCACTGACAATGACTTATGAGGGCCTGACCAAGAAAAATGAGAGCTTTGCAAGAAGCCCATGTCCTCAAAGTGCTCTCATGCATTAGGAGAAGGAAAGGATGAGATGCTGCATATGAAACATTTCAGAGTTCACAACTGAAGTGGAACGGGTAGGGCCAGATGAAAGAGGGAGTGGAAAAACATCCCCCCCCCCCCAGGAAGAACCAAAAAAATGTGTGGGTGTGAGGAAAATTGCTACACATTGACAAGCCAACTCACCATAACAGCATCTTGGAAAAGAAACTGAGTTGTCTTGTGAGGAAGCAAGAAGCAGCCATACATCCATATAAAGGTGGAAATAAAGGCCCCTGAAATGATTCAGGCAGACAAAAATGGGAACATGAGGAGGAGAGAAGGAAATGGTATTGTGAAACAATGGGGAGATGAATGGAAGAAGAGAACCAGACTTACTGAAATGACATTCAGAACCCATGGATAAACTGCCAAGGACCTCCAAACATGAAGGAGTCTGGCCCCTATCAGCCCTGACCTGAAAAGTGTGGTCAGGGTAAAATAAATTCAGGAAAAGGTAATTGAATTATCAGGGTCTAATCCCCGCTAAGATATAAGTGACACCAATGCTCTGAGTACAAATATGGGAAGATGAAATTATGATAATGAAAAGCATGATCGTCTACAGTATGTGGGGGTCGAGGCATACTGATCCCTGAACGCAAATGCTCCCCAAAATGATTCTCATGATTCCCAATATCCAAGGAATGAGGAAACACTAAAATAATGACCCAAAAGCTAGAACCCAAGAAGAGCAGGAGTGGAAAATGGGAAACAGGAGATAAGGACAGAACATAACATACCTGAATAATCAAATCCACCAAAGAGGAAGGAGGTCTGGGCAAGTTCCCCAAAATGACACACAACTAATAAGCTAAGAGGAGGAAAAAGGCTGTCCCAATCCAAAACTTCCTGACCACTGAAAACCATGAAAGGACAATCAACAGTTTGTTTTGTTTATTGCATGAAATTCATCAACTCTCGAAAAACCAGAGCTGTGACTTTGCAGGTTGAGAAACATGGTCTAACCCATTGTACATGGTCAGCAGATGTATCCATGATCACTTGAAACTGCAAGTGTATAACTCATGAAATTGATCAACTCTCAAAAGACCAGAGCTGTGACTTCGCAGGTTGAGAAACATGGTCTAACCCATTGTACGTGGTCGGCAGATGTAACCATGATCACTTGAAACTGCAAGTGTATAACTCATGAAATTGAAATAGGAGAGAAGGTATATAAAATAATTCGCAACTCTCCACAAAAGAGAATGAAATCTGTAAAGAAAAAGTAATTAAAGTAGAAACTTAAGAAAGTAAAACTTGCGTATAAGTGAGTCAAACAGCGAGTGAAAACACATCTATTCAATAAGACTGCTAATTGAGAAGTGATTAACAGCTGCAAGATTAGAGAGGATGCTAGTTACAATAAGGGTAGTGTTGCACTCCTATTGGTGGAAGGTTGCTGCATAATCATTTACATATTAGTATGAAGAAATAAGTGGGAGTATCAAGGCTAGTGTTGAGCAAAAATTTCCATCAATAGAGAGCAGTATAAGTCGAGAAAGCTTTTGTGAGAGGAGGTTATATATCGTATCAGAATATTTGCTTCTCAAACAATATACAAAGACAAAAACTAACTACTGAAAATTCTTATACACATATGTGGTATGGAAGTGTAAGTAACGTACCTTACAGTATAACCTGTCCAATTCAAATCATCTGTGACATGTGCTAATCTTTGACAAATTATTGACAATGTGCCAAGTGAAAGAAGAAACCACATAAATAAGAATGAAGTGTTTATGTTTACAAACAAAATAAATTTCTATATTAAATGTATATTTGTATGGTTAAAAGATAGTATTATCAAATCTAATTCAGACACTAACATTCCAGGGCATACTATATCTCAATTTAATGGTATATTTAAGCAAAGAAAACATGAGCTGGGCCCCACATGGTTCACTCACCCACATTTCTAGTCATTTTGGCACCTATTAATGAAAGAGGTTAACATACCTTTTTTATACTTAGCACATCTAGCTCCTTTAGTATTAGTTCCTTACTCTCTGGGGTTAAACACATGTAGAACTGTTCTCCATATCGAAACTCAGGATCATACACTAGCAATATTTCATGTTCTGGATAATTCTGAGAAGACAAAAACATTATTACCTTTTCTTTCTTCCCCCAAAGTTACCATTTATTAAAAGTATGACTTTTTTAATTTGAACATTACTTATAAAAGTTTGAAATATCTTGAAACTTTTTTCTGTCAGTGTTTCTTAACTACATATATAAAAATCTGAATTGATCTTTTCAAATAAATAACAATACACATACAATGAATTGATAGTTAGTAAAACACATTAATAAAGAAATTTGAACTTTCAACATGAACATTACCTTATGCATACGTGGGCTAAATTGTTTTGAGAAAGACCCCTATGATTCAGGGATAACTGTTCCTAATTTTGAACTACTAACAAGAAGGAAGGCAGCCAGTTAGAAATTATCATTTTCTTAAATCAAAAATGTATTTCCAATAATACTTACCTCTTCTCACACTTATAGCTTTACTCGACTGCCAGGTTTCCTTCCTGAAGTGATAAGTAAACCTCCTTGGATGAACCACAATGTCCATGGAAGGAGATAAAGCTAAATATTAGCTCCTAGACCTTGCAGCCCCCAAGTAAGGAGCAGGCTCAAAAGCAAGTGGGGAAAGACCCAAAATGTCACACACTCAATGAAGCAACTGAAAAAACGAATTAAAGGCAGCTTATCCCAAAGTGACCTCCTTTTTGTTTAGTATTTCATTTAAAGACTGAGTTGATTAATGTTGACTGTTTGTCAGGTAAGTTGTTTTGTGACAGCAAAGCAACGTTGGGCTATTTGCTGTGTCCACTATATGGAATTCAACCCCAGATTACAGTACTGCAAGCTCAAAAACTCAGCACTCTCCCACAGGGGAATTGAATGGCCAACAGACAAAAAGAAAGCACAGGAAAAAAGCAAATCTAAATTATTTACAGAATGTCGAGGATCACCCTCAATTGCAGCTTCAAAGACCCCAAAGGAACACCACGGAGCCGAATATATGTCTCCATCTAATTATGAATAAAATTAATGACAGTTTCAACCAAATGTTGGCTCCCTCACCCCAAATTGTTGGGTGACACTAGATATCAGAGGTGAGACAGGAGAGACCCGATTTGCCTCCTTGCCAGAAATAATAATCTGCGAATTCATACCACAAACCGGCTAGCCAATCAAAAAAATATATAGAATTTAATTTTTTTATGAAATCCAACTAGGCAGCACTAAGAACACTCAAAGTATCTCCAACAATTGTAGAACACAGAAACCTGTTAGTAAATGCTTTGCGAAGAAAATGTGATAACATTATCTGATGAGGTACTTATATACACAACCAGGATAGAGGGCCCATTGATGTAGGTGGAGTGTAATGAGACAGATATTGCCAAGGGCAATTAAGTGGGGTATAAAAGACTGGAGCAAGCGAGAAAAAATCAGAGCAATGGTTAGATGGGCAATGGAAGAAATCTTGGTCGTCGAGTAATAGCTATAAGTGTGAAAGGAGGTAAGTGTGTTTCAGAATCACCCCTTCACCACAAGTGCTTTGTCCAAATAATAAAATAAGGGAATTGACTATCACTTTTATAATGTGCCAACAGCTGAAAAGGCATGTCCAGAAGTATAGTGGCATAAACCTTGGACCATAATTGTAGTAGTTTTGGAACATTCTAGTCTAGTGACTAATACATTTTTTATGTTCTAAAATATAAATTTGAAAGCTACAGAAAATATTTTCTGAATACCCAAATTTGTGACACTCACTGAGGCTTAAAGAAAAGCTTCTAAAATTTTACTTGTGTGCAAAAGAGCTTGAGTATGCAGTAAGAACTACAAATCCTTGTTTTTATGTGTATATTCTATTTATTACTATATATATTTTAAACAAAGTAACTAAAATGTAAAAATTAGAAACTTCTCAGCTTAGTCTAACAAAACTTCAGTAAAATAAAAATGGTACTTTTATTTCAGTCCTTGAATACTGGGCAGGTACCAGAGGATTGGAAGTTAGCTAACATCACTACTCTTCTGAAGATAGGTGATAAAAATGATTCCAGTAATTATAGGCCTATTAGTCTTACATCAGTTATGGGAAAAGTTTTGAAAAGTCTGAAAAAAAGATGCTTTGCAAAGTTATTTAACAAAGTTTAGACTTGTATTGGATAGTCAACACCTTGCCTTACAAATCTTTTGACATTCTTTGAAAAGGTTACTGCTTAAGTAGATGAGGGTAAAGATGTAGATCTGGATTTTCAAAAAGTATTTGACAAGGTGCCACATAAAAGGCTTGTAAAAAAAATTATCTGTATAAGTTGAAGGGATAAGTTAGCAAACTGGATAGAAGAGTGGCTGGATGTAAGAAAGCAGAGTTGTTATAAATGGATTTCAGTCAAATTGGATTAATGTCACAAGTGGGGTACCTCAGGGCTCAGTCTTAGAACCTTTGCTATTTTAGACTTACACTAATGACATAGATGAAGGAATAGTCAATAAATTACTTACATTTGCAGATTATATTAAGGGTTTGGATGTTGCTGGCTGTGAGGAGGATGCTGATTTACAAAAAGATTTAGATTATTTAGTGAGTTTGGCGAATAAATAGCAGATGGGTTTTAATTATAATAACTGTAAAATAGTGCATGTGGGTTATCATAATTTGAATTATAAGTATAATTTGGATAAGAATAACCTTAACAGTGTTATGAAAGAAAAGGATCTTGTTGTAGTGGTTGATAAGTCTTTTAAGCCATCCAAGCAGTGTGCTGTTGCTAGTGGTAGGGCAAATAGGATTTTAGGTTGTATCTACAGAAATTTTGAATACAAGTCTAAAGAGGTTATAATTTCATTGTATAGGTCACTGGTTAGGCTACCCTTGGAATACTGTGTTCAGTCTTGGGCTCCTTACCTTAGGAAAAACATTGAATTGTTGGAAAGGGTTCAGAGGAGGGGGGCTAATAGAATGGTGCCTGGGATGGAGAGGTTGAGATCTTTCAAATGGTTTTCTCTTGAAAAAAGAAGAGTTAGAGTGGATGTAATTGAGGTGTTTAAGATTGTTAAGGGAATTGAAGGTACTGATGCATCATCTTTTTTCATACTTAATGGTGAGAACAGTAGGACAAGGGGACACAAATATAAATTCTGGCAGGGTTGGAGTCACCTTCACCTAAGATAGTTATAATTTTCTAACAGAGTTGATGGCCTTTGGAATGGGTTGCTTTCAGATGCTGTGTAGGCAATAAATTTAAGTGAGTTTAATAGATAGTTTGATAACTATATGAATGATAAGGAATGGCTTTAAGATTTTTATTTATTTAATAGTTTCAGATTAATTTTGGGAATGGGACAGCTGAGATGGACCAATAGATCCCTTGTTGTCCCAAAACATTATGTTATGCTAAAATTTCATAAGCTTAGGAGCACAAGCACTCTGTCAATTATTGCACTCAGGAATCACATGGAATTTACATTAGTTCTTTAGGAAACAGGTAATGGGTTTCTGCTGTCATTTATTGCTTTTGACACAAGGATTACTACTCCAGAGGGTAGAAAGTACAGCAATAAAACCATAAAATTAAAAGGAAAAACATGTGGAAAAACTTATGATACTCATTTAGGAGGTTTTAGCAGCTATGAAAACTGTAATATGAAAACAAGTATTTTTATTATTAACAAGGGAATCACTTTTACTCAGACTGAATCAGTAAAGAATTTGGAAATTCAGACAAATCTTTAGCAAAAATAATTAATAAAAATCTCCTTTTTGTGTACAACTGACTTGTAATGTTTACTAAAAGCTTGCCAATGTTAACATATTCGTGATCAGAAAATGTATTTCAAATAGACAGTCATCTCTTTAAGCAGTTAAGCTATCTTCCTCACTTGTCTGACTTCACAATTTTCATACCATTAGCCCTCCCATAAGCAACTCCCACTTAAATTCATGATTTGCACTACTACATGATGATGCCATCATGCAGCAAAACCCCTCCACCAATAGAAGGGCAACACACCTCCACGCACAATAACTCCCCTTATGCCCTTACACAAGTGAATCTTCATTCTTTGACAAGGCAAGGAACAAAGGTGCACCAGAAGTGGGGAGAATGGGTGGGAGTGTGTGAAGACGTGAGCAACTATGGGAAATATATTTTAAGGCAAGGAAAAATACTTACTTCAGAGATGGTACCTCACCTCTGCACAAGTTAAGCTAGAATCCCATCTTGATGTGGTGGAGGGGTCTCTGTGAGTTGTACCTAGATAAGTTCCCTTCAGAAAGTACCCAAATGAAGCCTGTGAAGTGTGACACCCAATGGCAGAGGTTCCATAGAAGCACAGCCATGGGAGACTACAATTCATCTAATCCAGGGTATACTCTTTGCGTGGAAGGTAAAGGAGTAAGAGACAAAAGAGCCCCTTGTGTCATAGGTATGTATAAAATAAGATCGTACCATCTAAGTACCTGCACACAAATGGTTGAAGAGCTAGTATGTGTAGTAGTGTGTTTCGGATGTGTTCAGACCCTACCCTGTGTGTTCACCACAACTCTAAGGCACAGACTCCAGATGAAGGAAGAGGATACAGTATTCATGCCACTGGAATTCAGAGATAGTGTGTACACATCAACTCAATATGGTTACATATAGTGAGTGCTCAACTGAAAAAACACTGTCTACAGAAGGAAAGCACATTTGTGGAGTACATGCTCAACTCTACAGAACAAATATTAGTTGCAGGAGGGGCACTGTGTCATATTGTGTGTTTGCCTCAATTCTACTGGACACTCTGACTGCAGGACGAGGGTACAGCATCAGAGTGCATGCTCTGCTCAACTTAACAGATTCAGGTTGTTGGAGGAGGGCAAATGTGGCATGTGTGGTGTAAATGAGTGGTGATCTGCTCTACACAGACAGTATCAACACCACCCAACTTCCCATTATATTGGTACTCAAATATGGCATGTGTGGTGTATATGAGGGGTGATCTGCTCTACACTGACAATATCACCACCAACCAACTTCCCATGATATTGGTACTCAAATATATTCCAGCCCAGTGTAAGAGTCCAATTGTGGCCTTACAAAACACCCCATGTCATAGTGGGCACATGCAGAGCGAGGGTGTATGGTATGAATACTTTCTGTTATCTTGGCTCAATGCGGATTTTGGGTAAGTATATCATGGGAGGCACCACCAACCACCTGGCAAGATCCTATAATTGATGGAAGGGGGGCTGTAAAAGAAAAGTAAATGCAGTCACCCATCTATAGATGGTGGGTAGACTGGAGAATGGTGATTGGAGGCAGTTGGTAACCTTCAGGCAACAAAACAGCCAGATGGTGAAGATAGTGAACTAAGTGAGTAGGGAAAGGGATGAAGAAGTGGAATGGGCCTTGGTAGAGAAGAGGAGGGAATACGAATCACTCAAAAATTTATCAGGGACATGGTGAAGTGCCACAGTCATAAAATGCAGTGAGGAAAGGTAATGAAAGAGGGTAGTAAGGGACAGATGAAGACAAGAAAATTAGGCATTGAAAGTGAGACAAACAATAATTAGTCCACCCCTCAAACAGGCAAAATAGATTCTAAGGTTTAGGAAATGAGAAGTGAGAAAGGTTGTAAGCCATGACACAAAAATAACATAAACATGTAAATCATGAGATTGAGGAAATTATGTTGGTCAAAAACTGAATCAGCGTGAACACCAATACCTTGAACACTAAAGCAAAACCAGGAGGGGAAATAGGCAATCAAAATCATCTTCCCATTCTCCTACTGGAAGTGATGTTTTCAAAGCAAAACCAGGAGGGGAAATAGGCAATCAAAATCCTCTCCCATTCTCCTATTGGAAGTGATATTCTCAAAACAAAACTAGGAGGGGAAATAGGCAATCAAAATCATCTCCCATTCTCCTACTGGAAGTGATGTTCTCAAAACAAAACTAGGAGGGGGAATAGGTAATCAAAGTCATCTTCCCATTCTCCCCTCAAATTTTGAGGAAGGGATACCTGAAGAAGGGACAGGAGCTGAAGCTCCAAGCCGCATAATGGATCCCAAAACAATTAACAGTAGCCATCACGTCTTATTCAATCAATGAGCAGCTAGAAGCCATGGTCAATATATAAACTGTGTGGGTAATTTCCTTACTCACACAAGTGTAAATCACATTGACACGTCAGTTGATTGTGAGAAAGAAAACAAAAACTAAGTTACATTAACTGTGCAAAGCTTAGTAAACTGAAGTAATGAAAACGTGTCTGTAGTATTCAGTGCCAAAGAATAGATTGAAGATTTAAGTGTGCAAGTGCATTGTGGGTGGGTAGATAGATATTACACGTGGAGGTGTGTCACCCTCTCTTTAATGGAGGGGTTTTGCTGCATGATGACTTCATTATGCAGTAGTGCAATTCACGTAAAATCCTGTGAATTTAGGTGGGAGTTGTTTAAATTTGTTTTCAATCCTAATATAGCCTTTCTGTATTTAACTTTTTAGCATATTATTTTTCCTCTATTGTGAATAGCTTGCATAAAGCCTAAATTACATCAATAACAACATATTTCATTTTATATGTGTGAAAGTTTAGAAATAAATTATCATAATATCTTTTAAGCATTTACAACTTAGCAGAAGTTTCCTGTCTTACATTTAAATTATACATAAAACTTATCCTCCATAGTAACACCATATCTCTTTTGACATAACAAATATTTGTTTTCTACTATAAACTACTCTAAATTAAATGCATTACATTATGTTTCTTAACAATTACAAATGGGAGAAAATATGAGCCTTAGATTATTACCAGAATTTCCTGTTTAGCTGGATGAAAATCAGATACTGCTGCTCTTTTCTTCATGTCTTCAATAACATATGATTTCTGCAAAAATATTTTTCGCTGATTTTCAGACACATCTGTTCCTACCACACAGGAAAAGAGATTTTGTGTTTGACTTGTCAACACCATTGGCTTAATTCCTAATGGAATTATGTGGACACTAGCATTGGAACCTTGCTGTCGAGAAACTGCACAACAAAGAAAAATTTAATTGAGTGTCAAAGTACATTTTTTATTAGTCTACATTCATTCTTAGAATTTATTTAAAAGTTTCTCATACTCTTACATCAATGATCTAAGTCTATTAAAAAATACAAGTTATTAAAGTACTGTACACTTCATAGTTACATACATTTGAGGTTAACAAATTTATATCATAATAACAGATTGTAATGCTTGATCTATGAATATGACTTTGTAAGACAACTGCCATGTTGTTGTAGCTCCAAGAAACTGTGCTTTGAGTACTTTTTGGACCATCAACCTGCACCTTTGGAAAATATTTTGTAACACCTATCTAAATGTGTACTGTTGCAAACATGCAACAAATGTGGTATGCAGATATCACATATCCAGCCCTCTTACAGCATACATTTTCAATATAGTTACAAAATTTCACATTTATTAAAATTCTAGTCTGAACCTGGCAAATTCAAACAAAGTCACATGGTAATTGAACCCTAAGTATTGTTGCGTCAGCGAGGTCACGACTAGTGTGACGCCATGTTTCTAGAACTATCCTGTACCTTGGCGAATG